TGATCATTTTTTTATTTATTCTATCTAAAATCATTACTAAGCGCCGATATTGTAAAGTAAAATCCCAAATATTTTTGAAAACTTGCCATTAAACAACTTAATTTTAAAAATTGGGGCCCTTAAATATATTAAAAAATTGGGGGGCCTAAGGCACTTGCCTACTTTGATACACACTAAGCACGGCCTGGATATAACCAATTCTCTCCAAATTTGTTGATTTATCCGATTTGTATCGTTTTAAATTGAGTTACCCATCAACAAAACTAGTGACAATTATTTTGGAAGCAACTCATTTGGATGACCGGATCATTTTTTTTAATTTAACTAAAACAAACATTATCTAGATGCTGCATCTGTATAATAAAAGAAACATCCATCATAATACAAACAATTCATTCTTGGATTACATCTTCCATAAGTGGTTCTTTCATTGATCTAAAATAATTGATCAAATAGTATTGCCTCTGGTATGATCTCAAAAGTCAACCATCTTGTAGTCATTAAGCTAAGCAAAGCAAACCGCCCCCTAAATTAATGTTCTACACGTTCTTATAACATCATCTCCTATGATCTTCCCATCACTTTTTTTGTTTTCTTTCAAAGCCAAGAAAAATGACAAAAAAGAAAAGATTTATAAATCTCTTTCACAGGGAAACCATACCGTCTCAAAGCTTTTGGTCCTCATGAAACCGAGAGGTCTAAACAATTATCTCTACCGTCTGATCGTTAAACCATTTTCCACCATCGATGGTAGTCATGTCACGATTAAGCTTCTCAGTGACAGTGGTCTTGCTACTCTTACTGCTCGGTCCCGGTCAAAGCAACGCTTCCGCATCTGCTGAAGAAGAGGCAAAGTTCAGTCCAGGCGTGGCTGTAGTCCTGATAGTACTCGTCAGCATTTTCTTCGCACTTGGATGCGTCTCCGTCTACATGCGAAGTTGTCTCGAGCGTGCTCTAGGGATCAACGATCGTCGATCCGGTGACCCGGGAAACTGGCTTAACGTGAGGCAGACGACGAGTGGGCTAGAATCGTCTGTCATCGAAACGTTTCCGACGTTTCGTTACTCCACCGTGAAGACGTTGAGGATAGGCAAAGAAGCGTTGGAGTGTCCCGTTTGCCTCAATGAGTTCGAGGACGACGAAACGCTGCGTTTGATACCTCATTGTTGCCACGTGTTCCATCCTGGTTGCATTGATGCCTGGCTACGTGCAAACACCACGTGTCCTCTCTGTCGCTCTAATCTCGTTCCGGTACCGGGTGAGTCCGTTTCTTTCGAGATACCCGGTCAAGCCAGGGAAACCGGTCAGAACTCTCCCGGAATGCCGAGCGATGATAACCGGAGGAAGGTTTTGGGTTCTCCGGACGACCGGTTGTTTGACTCTGTGGCTTGGACAGGTAACCAGAGCATGCCTCGTAAGTCCATGTCTACTGGGTGGAAATTAGCCGGATTGCTCAGCCGGTCCAGTTCCACCGGTCAACCGGGGGAGAATCTAGACCGGTTCACGCTAAGATTACCCCAAGAGATACACGATCAGCTGATGAACCAAGGATCAAAAGGCAACGTGGCGTTACCTCAAGTGAGGAGCTCGTTAGAAGGGTACAGGACGGGAAGCCTAGGGACAGAAAAAAACTACTTCTACTTTGAACGGTTCGACAAACATGGACGGTTGGACCGAAGACCCTTTTCTATAACTCCTCCGTACCGGACCGGTTCGATCCAGTCTCCAGATGGGGATATCGAAGACGACGGTGATTATCAGGAGGGTGCTGGTCAACCAAAAGGTGTGCTTCTAGCGATAAGGTCACCGTTTGATCGGTTATTCACTGGGAAGAACAATGTTGGTGAACGTTCGTACCTTCGATCCGGCGATGCAAGCCCTGTGTAGACACGAAGTAATAAAATCGGGTTCCTTGAGAAATTTCAATACCGTAGAGGCTTAGTAGACCCATAAGACGCATCTACTACTGAAATGTAATAAATGTTTTTGTTTTTTTTTCCTAATATATAAACTGTAACCAGATCAGTTCCCTAAGTTGAAAAGGCCAAACAAGTAACAATGTAACTTTAGTTCATGAACTGTGATGATATATGATGTGAAAAAACTTCAGAAAGATTTATGAACCACCATGACGGAAATAGAGAACAGATCGGTAGAGAGCAGCGACATGGAGGAAACAAATCAGAGCTATGAGTAGATCATCTAGTAAACCGATAACCCCCAAGACACCTGACAAGAAAATCGATAGAAAGTATCGGTAAGTAACATTAGTTGATAGAAGAAAAGAGCGTAATATATGGTTATAGTCAAGGGATCAAATGAGGAATCACCTTCAGGGATGATATCTATTGGGCTGATTATGTAAACCGCACTCAGTATCAACTGCATCAAATCAAATGCAGTGAACTTGCTTTAGTCACAGAGTCTATTGTGAACATCTTTTAGCAAAAGATTTACTTGAAAGAGAGACAAAATATATAGTAGGGTTCACAAGTACGAAATGTGTTTCAACTAACCGCAATATAAACACGAGCTCTGATCACAAGTGGAAGCGTTCTTTGTGGATCCATCATTTCTCGCAACAACCTTGGGAGTAAAAAGGGAAGGTCTCGCATCCTCTGCAAAACAAATTGAAGTTTCGTGAGAGAAGGTTCCATTTACCAGTGGTCAAACAAATGAGATGCATCAATTTCCACAAACGAAATAACAAGATAACGAAACTGAAACCATTCATCCCTGATTTGCTAGCACGACGATCCAACTTTCCTTTTGTACCACATAAACTCAATAGCTAAGCCAATATGTCCTCCTTGATTGAATCCTTAAACACATACCCTCACAACTACTCTACTTATCACCAAACTTAACTCTGCTTTACATCCCAGAGGTAGTGGTGAAAGACCAAAACACATACCTGAACTAAATCATTTGACTGTCCACCAAAGACCCGATTGTAAGTTTCAACATCACGAAGAACCACGGAAACTGTAGCGTCGTCATTCCGATCTCTCAATGTTTCTTCAGAAGGAACCAGCAAACTAATCGGTCGACGACACAAGGGACATTTGCAGGGACGTAATGTAGATCCATACCTCCAAACAAGCATAATGCACTTTCCTAGAATGATTGAAAAGAGTTAGGGAAAAGGATTTACCTCAATTAGATAATCTCATGGACTGCACAGGAATCATATAAGACTTTGATTATGTGAAGATAAAAAAAAAAGACCTCTTAGACCTAAGCAAATCGAGAAGAACGAGACCTTGAAGCTTTCTCTTACCTTAAACCATGAATCATACAAGTTCCAAAACAAAATTGTTAAGAAAACCGAATCAATTAAGACTCTCATCACAAACTCGATTCCATAAAAGTGGCTAACGAAAGATTCTGGGGATAAGAGATAGAGATGCTACGCTAGATCTTCCTGGCAAAAGTACAGGACCGATTTCAAACGATTCGAGAGAAGAAGAAATTGAAGAAAGCGAAGAATTAAAAGAGATCGCACCGCAGAACCAATGAGAGCAATTAGCTTGGCAAGGAGCGTTGAAACGGCCATGGCATATCGAACAAACGTCGTTCTCCGAAGGTTGA